AAGACACTATGCAGAATAACGAAGGAGAAATTAATAGCATAAGTGGGCTGATGGAATATTTGAAAAAGAAAGAAGAGAGTACATTAAAGAAGAGAGAAAGGAAGGACATGGAGGAGAGTCAAGACATGAAGAACTATGAAGTAAGGTAAAGGAAATAAAAGAAGAATGTATTAAGGATGTTTGGGAGGTACAATCGGAGATAAGAGTACATAAAATTAGAAATTCGTGATTAATTAGGTTTTGCAGTATATCATGAGGTAAATAAATACTATTTATACTAAAAAAAAGTATACGGTTTGAGAGAAAATTTGGAATTTGACCAAAAACTTTGAATAAAATAAGAAATAACGAATAATATGGAAAATTTTTAACTGACTTTTGGCAGTGAATATGCCTTGATTTCAACTTCGAAACAAAAAAATATTTAGTTTCAATCTCTATTAATAATGAGCGTAAAACTTTTTAATATGTTTAAATAATAATTAAAACTTTAAAATTGCATTTATTTCAGACAATTATAAATATTATCATTATATTATCAAGTAAAAACGAGATTTTCAGCTAATTTTTCATTTTTTCCTCGATAACCATTTAGTGAATTTGAATAACCTTACGCTAAAGTGATTCTCCAGAGTTCAAGTTACTTATTATAAAAGTTTGAAATTTCTGGTAGCTTTTTTCTGTTAATAAAAATAAATTTAATCTGTTCGGTCAACGAATCTCCATAAAATGACGTGTAAAATTACAATTCTTTAAAATTTCAATAACTTTTTAACGGTTTAGTGAATCGATTTGTAATTTGTGCGGGAGTTTTGGAATTGCATGAATAACGTTTTTCCAAATTTTTATTTGTCTCGTAGCATTTTGACATACCTCCCAAACATCCTTAATAGCTATAAATGCTTAAAAATGGAAAAAACAATTGAAGTAGAAGTAAAGGAAGTGGTACTGAAGAGACCGGAGATAGGACAGCATGTGGTGAAAAGAATAAGGAGATTGGAAATAGATAGAAAATAGAATAATATTTTAATTACATCATAGCATTAAAGAATGATCGACAAAATCATTGGCACTTATATATTATATTTATAATTNTTAGTGGTCAGAACATTGGTGCGTAAAGCCAAAGGTCCCGGGTTCGATTCCCGACGGGGGTGTGACAACAGCAACAATTTTTCCCTCATTAATTTGAGGTAGCGTGTAGTGGGTAAAAAATTCAGAAATGAATTTTCAGAATAATATTTCATATTAAACTAACTCACTTCTAAAAGATATCTAAATTATATGTATGTTTAATCATAGTATATTCAGTATATAGTTACATTAGTTCGACGGATCGTTAACCTTGTAGGTCGGTTGGTCGTGGTTGTTGTTGTCACCTCTCGTAGTTTAGTGGTCAGAACATTGGTGCGTAAAGCCAAAGGTCCCGGGTTCGATTCCCGACGGGGGTGTGACAACAGCAACAATTTTTCCCTCATTAATTTGAGGTAGCGTGTAGTGGGTAAAAAATTCAGAAATGAATTTTCAGAATAATATTTCATATTAAACTAACTCACTTCTAAAAGATATCTAAATTATATGTATGTTTAATCATAGTATATTCAGTATATAGTTACATTAGTTCGACGGATCGTTAACCTTGTAGGTCGGTTGGTCGTGGTTGTTGTTGTCACCTCTCGTAGTTTAGTGGTCAGAACATTGGTGCGTAAAGCCAAAGGTTCCGGGTTCGATTCCCGGCGGGGGTGTTACAACAGCAACAATTTTTCCCTCATTAATTTGAGGTAGTTTGTAGTGGGTAAATAAAAAATCGAAAAAATGATTTCAAATTAATATTGAAAAAGTGGTGTCTGTCAGTAATCGTGTTATTAAAAGCTATTGTGAAGAAAATCAACTGATTTTGATTAGATATCATCAGTGGTATAACCTTAGATTCCTGCCATCCTAAACGAATCCTAAATTTCTCGCCATTTTTATTTTTTCAATTATAAGATCTTTTATTCAAATTAGTTATCATCTTTCTCATTCTAACCACCACCACCATCATCCCATTCCCATGATTCCTAGAGGAGGCGGAAAAGAGCCTTCCGCCTACCCTTCGGCATACCTTGGAGGGTCTGCTCGTCCTCCACTATTAGGAGCCGGTAAAAGCCACCCAATAGTTAAAAAAAGTCCAGAGGACAATTCATATCTCTACTTTTTGAAATGTTTTCCTAAAACTTCATTACGATTTCTTACGATTTGAGCTTTTATAATCTTAACTGCTCTATGTCGTTCATTTTTGAGCTGTGGGAGCTTAGTCTGATCAAATGATAACATCATGGATATCGAAAATTGGCTTAAGAAATTCTTGTAAGTAAATCTCGTTTTTCAAACAGTGGTAAAGTTTTTTTTTTTATTTATTTTTAAAGTCTAGCAAAGCAAACTAAAAATATCAAATAAGTACTAAAAATGTTTCCATACAAGAATATCTACATTAAAGTTGCTTAAAATAATTTAACTTATAAATCTACCGGAATTAATAATTTTTCGTTTAGTCTTGCGTATTTGGTCTTGGTCTTGCATATTCGGTCTTGATTTTTGTTTGGGTCTTTTGGTTCGTTCGGTATTGGTTTTAGTCTGAATCTTGTCCGTTCGGTCATTGTTTTAGTCTTAGTCTTGTTTGTTCGGTCATTGTTTTAGTCTTGAAATTCTTTGTTCGATTTTAGTCTTAGTCTTGTTAGTATAAAGACAGTCTTGGTTTTGGTTTTGGTCTTACATTTTCGCAAGATTAAGACCAAGACTGCAAGACCAAAACCGATTTTGTTCAACTTAACCTTTACTTGTTTTCTACAATCATTAACCGAAAAGCGGTGTTTTTGGTGTGGCTAAGCCCGTCCAAATATATATTGGTGGCGAGTGCCGTTATCAATAGTGCATAGCACATACCAATTAGGTACATTTTAATTTTGTTAATTTTTATTAACTACACACGGGCACGCAATGTTCCGCGCGAACGACAAGAGCGTCACCAAATTGCGTTTGGCAAGCCTCTGCGCAGTGAGACCGTTTCACACGTAGCTTTTTTACCATGATTCGCGCGTGCGTACTATTAAAAAATCACCCTTTTTTGTCGTCCACAAGTGATTTTTGAATACTTTCGTCGTAGATAAAACAACACACCAATTGAGATTTTGTTTACGTTTTGTGTTTGAGAATATTAGACATTGATAATACAAAAACATTTGTGTTTTCTATTTTTTTTTTGCTCAAGGAGCTTTTCAGACACATTCGCTCCGGGCTACGTCTTTCCTTCTACCTGTAGTGCCATTTCTTTACAATTGTTTAGTTACGCGTCAAATACATCACAATTAGTGTATTTTAATTAATAATTAACACGTTTATAATATCAACGTATTGATATTTAAGAGCATTTATTCCTACCTATAGTTCCAGGAAACCAAGCACATAAAGGGTTCCTCTGCAGATCGGTGCTGCTGTTTCCAACTCTAATCTCTATATCTTGAAGGGGCTGATGACCACAGCAACCTCTCGTGGTCACCCTCACGACTTTAATTGGATACGGTCGTAATAAGTTTACTGACCACCATGGACTGGGCTCTTTTTGCGTTTCTGAACAACGCTTGCCATCATGGTCAGTACTGGTATCACCGTCGTTTGCGTTAAGAGCTGCTCCACCCCTTACTGACGTTGACTGATTAGCAGGTTTTCGAAATGCAACATTAGTACCTGAAACAAGACAAAATTTACTTTCTTAATTAACTTAACACAAAATTGACGAAAACATTTTATAACTAATCTTTCTTTGTATTGTGTATTAAATATTTGGTATATTTGGGGTGTTTCTGAAATAAGTAGCAAGTTTCCACAAGAAAATTATATAAAATGTTAGTGGTCCGAAAATCTATCATTTTCGATAAAAGTGTATTTGAAGATACAGGCAAGAGCCGATCAGCTGCTAATTAGCAACATTCGTGTTGTATTTCTTTTCTATTAATTAAGTGTGATGGCAATGTTTATGTTACAGTTAGTCTAAAGTAATTCTTTGTTCTTTTAACGTTGTAGACTTGTATGTATGCATGTAGTTAGCCGAAGTCGTTGGCAGTGTGTCAGGGTCATAGGTCAGTGCAGAATAGTATTATTACATTGATCAAAGCGTATGTTTCTAGACGAACAGTTTCCTAGATTCTGGAATGGAGGTATGGGTCGTTTACCTTGACCGCTGAGTGGTTCTGATTTAAATTTTAAAGTGAATCAATGTTTACTACTACACAAAAAAACTTTTGGGTGTTTCATTCCCACCACCTAGTGATGCTGGTGGGTGGACAGTCCCTCCGGATTTCGTCGGAAGACCCTCTTCAGCCTCCTTTCAGGAATCGTGGGAATGGGTGGGTGGTGGTTCGGGTGAGAAAGAAGAGACGGACGAAATGAAGACAGAAAATAATGAAAGATTATCTGTGGAATATTACTGCCTCAGCATTTGCCTAAGTGGTCAAAGGAAACCACAGAAAAACTTGGACCAAGGCTGACGTACCCGAAATCGAACCGGTGTCCTCCAGAATGCTACGTAATGGTCTAAATCTCTAGGCCATGCCGCTCGGTCTACTACACAGACAACTTCCAATTAATGAGAGAAAGTTACAACTGCTATGACGCCCTCGCCGGGAATCGAACCCCGAATATTAATTTGAGGTTATCTGTTGTAGTAAAAATTAATTCACTTTAATGTATTGGAAACTTTACAAAACTTCTCCTGATTCCTCATCATTTTTTATATGTATTATGTATTTTCATTTTTTTGTGCAGAAAAAGAATGAATAGTTTTTAGAGTTAGTTACTTTTCATCTTTCTTATTCTCATTGTAATCTCTAGTTTTTAATAAATGTTTTTAAAAACAAAGTTTCGAATTCCCGAAACTTAATTACTTTATATGCACATTTTAGATATGTAGTTATGAGATTAGATAAAAGTTTTTTTCTGTAATCAATTGTCATTCGCTGTTTGAATTACTGTGTTCTATTAATGAAGTGAATCAGGTGATTTTCGTTTTCTTCTCATATATAGGTACATTAATAACTATTATTAGGCTATAAGGTATATTTTATTTCTTATTTCGTTCGACGTAAGAGAAAATTCGAATTTGATCGCAAAATTACACTGAAAAAGTGATAAACATTTCTTTTTTATATTTATGCTGTTAGGTGCCTATGCTGTAAAGAATGACTTCAGATTGGAAAAGGTCTCATAATATTCCATTTCCAACAATTTGGCACCGATTTACAGGACGGAAGCCAACGTCAAATGGAGAGTTACCAAACTTTTGGGTTCAGGATATGCCCGAAGATTTATATGAAGTAGCTATAAATTTAATGCAGAAACATTTCTTGAGAGATGAACCTCTTGGTAGATTTTCAAGTGAGATACAATGCGCTATTTTACTAAATATTTTAAAATTAATTAGATTTTCTTGTTTTCTTTATTTAGAAGCTATAGATAACCCAGTGTTTGTGGAGGAGTGGACAGAAGTGCTAAATGAAGTATTGAAGGATAGACTTGCTTTGGTGTGTTTTATGGAAAACCCTGATAAGACCAGACAACCGATTATCGCAGGATTAAATATAACTGCTGTTGCCAGAAAAGATGAAAAACTGCCGCAGGTTTGTTAAATATGCATAGATAAAGACAACGTTCTCGTATTCTCTTTATGAGGTTTCTTTTTAAAATAATTACTTTTTGTATTAAAATAATTCTGTTTTTTTAAAATAATTACATTTTGTATTAAAATAATTCTGTTTTTCAGGGTGTATCTAAACAAGGTCGCCAATTTGTCCAAACAGCTGAATTTTTATCAAAAATGAAAGATCCCTTTGATACTCTAGGTGTAAACGAGTATTTAACTGCGTATGGTTTATTGGTACTTCCAGAATTTCGGGGACAAAACTTAGGATTAGAAATTTTAAAAGCAAGGTATTTTAAAATATTCTGCTGTTGTTGATTTGATCTCATCAGCACGCCAAGAACTTCTGTTCTTATTAATTTGAAGTTGAAGTACTTCAGTGAGTAGCTACATAGTACATTTTCGGTTTAGTTGTTGCTACTAAACTTTCTGTCCATCGTTTTTGTGATTTTCCAGGTGATAGCGTGCGACCTGGCTCTTCTAAATGGACTTTTTTGCACAACGTTTTGGAACTAACGTTCGCATGATCTCTCCAGTCTCGGTTCCAAGAACTCTTCTAATTTACAGTAGTATTACAGTACATATTATTTGATTGTTTCGTTTCTTATTTGGTCTCGTAGTAATGCAACTCATATGATTTTTAATAATGTCTTTATTTGTGGACAATGTACCTTATGTTGTTTTCATTTTTACGGTGTCATCTGTTTTCGTTTTGGCCGTCTCATCGTTCCTACCCTAAGCCTGCTTTCACCCTGCTTTCACACAGCACGGTTTTCTGCCGTAGCCGTGCACGGCTGCCGTCGCAGCACGGCATGGGGACTGCAACGGCACGGCGCCGTGGCCGTGCACGGCAACAGTGAGACAAGCAAGTGTATAGAAGTATTCACACGTGCCGTGTGTTCACACGGCAAAAATTGTTTTCAGGATCGTTTTTCTCTCTGAATTGTGCAGTTAACAGAAGAAATTATATAGTGTGGCGGATAATAACACCGCTATATTTAATTTAAAACATATATTTGACTAAACATTATATTACACCCTTTTGTAAATATTTCTACTCGAATTCTTTTGTATCTGTCTTTCTATTATTATTATTATTCTCTGNTTGGTCTAATAGCTAAATTCCTATCAAAAATGAAAGATCCTTTTGAAACCTTAGGTGTAAACGAGTATTTAACGGCGTATGGTTTACTGGTACTTCCAGAATTTAGGGGACAAAATTTAGGATTGGAAATTTTAAAAGCAAGGTATTTTAAAACGTTTTTCTTGTTGTTGTTGTTCTTTATCAAAACTATTACTACAGTTATAATCTGTAGTCCACCGTATTGCAATTGATTTCTTAAAATTCTTCTTGATTTAAGTACTTTTTTTCATTTCTCTTTCCTAATAAAAATAATATTCAATAATTGACAGTGAGAATCAAAATATTTTATTACTAAAATGTCAGTGTGCGTATTTGAGGGGCAATTAAATTACCTTATCTTTTTTTGTAGTTTTACTAACAATTTCACAGCTATTTTAGTAAAAAGTTAAACGATCTTAATGTTATTTCTTAAGGAGCACCTGTTACTTCAAAATCGAGGTAGTTCAATTTGAACAACTCGTTTAAAATTAATAAATTCGTTGTTTACAGTGAAATTTATGCTAAATTTTATAGTGAGTAAACCCGGTAATTTACCTTCTGAGTTGACATTATAATTATATATATCTGCCTATGTATATGTATATGTATGCATATTACGTTGTTAAAGATGTTACAAACTAAAATCGGTATTTCGCCTTTTTTTGTACTATGGTGGTTTAAGTAGAACCTTTTCAATTAAATGACATAAGTATCTGTATGCAAGATTAACTCTTTGGTTTTGTGTAATAGAAGAAATATCTCTCCGGATAAACTGAAAACTGAACTAAAAATTTAATAAACATTAAAATAAAAATTTTCTTATTGCTTTATTTTTTTCTTGCAGAGAACCTCTTTGTAAAGCAGTAGGACTTAAAGCTACAGTTACAATGTTTACCTCCATCATTTCTCAAAAGCTCGCAGAAAGAGCTGGATTCAAGGTGCTTAGTGAAATTTCTTACCTCAAATTAGAAGAAATTGACCCTTTTCTTACTTTTCCTGGTATACATGAACATACAAAAAATGTGAAAAATATGTACCTTACGTATGAATAAATTGTTTTATAGTTACTGTTTATTTAGGCAAAGTTATTAAACGCATTAGTCAAATCAACCTGATTCTGATCTTCACTTTTTCCTATCCTGAGTTAATCTTCACATTTCCCTAAAACGAGAACATCCCACATCCGTAACTATTTATGAGTAATCGTCAAATCTGGGTCTGTATCTACTCATCTTAACTCCTGTTTCTGCTTCTAATGACTTCCATTCGAACTCTTCTAACTTGCTCTTTTCTGCCACGTCCACAGCCTATGTTTCGCACCCAAACAATGCCGCGCTCCAAACATTCACCTTTAACAATCTTTAGAAGTGACTTCTTTTTATTTACTCTACCCTGCGTTATCCTCTATGTTATATTTTTACTGCTCTTGTCATCCTGAACTATTAGTTTCATTGAAGTCTATATAGTGATACACTATGTCTGATCAATATTCCGCAATATTTGAAAGGTAACACCTGGTAGCACTGTACAGTGCATCTCGTGATAGCTACTGTGGCTACATATATGTTTTAGTTACGGTATATTATCATTTTTGCATATATCTTCGATATTTTTCCCAATATCAACATTATAATGTATAATCCAATTCTTTCTATTGTAAATATTTCCTATTGTTATTATGTAAAGATCCTTTCAAATGTATCTTCTTAAAGCCTTTTGTATCTGTACCTTTCTATTATTCTCTCTACAAATTATTTTATTACTTGTACTTTCCACTAATCCCTTAATATTTTAATTTCGCTTACTAACAGCATGAGGTGTATAATTCTTGTTGCTTCCTAATTGCATTTTAATATTGGGTTTTTAGGTACCTTCGGGAAAAATCTGTTTGTTAGTATTTCATCGAATCCCTCTTTCCAAGTTTCATTCTCTTTTGATTCGATCTCTACTTCAGTTAAAATACTTCCAGCTCCACCCTTTTAATCTTCGTTAAAATTTATTTTCAAAACTACTAACACTTCCGATCTATTATTCAACTGTTCTACTTCATCCTTCAGCGATCGTTAATTAAATTTGTTAAGTTTTAATTGTGTTTTATTCAGTAATTTTACTTTTGCAAAGTGTGTTTAATTCCACCAAAAAACCTAAATTGGTGACCCCTACGAAGAACAAGTAGAGAATCTTCTGAGTGCCCGACGAAGAACAAGTAGAGAATCTTCTGAGTGCCCGACGAAGAACAAATAGTGCCCGACGGAAAAGCGAAAGTGCGATCCAGCGAAAAGCAAAGTATTATCCAACAAATAGTGACAAAACTGTGGTAGTACACGTCCAAAAAACTGTAAGTACATTTGCTGTGTATTATTTGTGTGTGCGCGAGTCGTGATTGTTTCTCGAAAATGGCTTTGCACAATTCTGTCGGGAATAGTAGCCAGACATCAACCGATTCAGAAATCGCATTGTCCGTCAACCGCGTCGCATTTCGTGTACCATCGTTCATCCCTGCAGATCCAGAGTTATGGTTTGCAATGGTGGAAAGTAGCTTTGCAAATGCGAAAGTGACTACCGACGCCACCAAGTTCAGTTGCGTCATAGAAGCCTTGGAGCCACGATACGCCTTAGAAGTTAGAGACATCATAGTCAACAAGCCTGAAAGGGACGCATACGAGATACTAAAAGCAGAGTTGGTCAAAAGGCTCAGCACGTCCAAGGAGCAGAAAACCAGACGCCTACTAGAGATGGAAGAGTTAGGGGACCGAAAGCCGTCGCAATTTCTCCGTCATCTAAAAGGACTTGCAGGCAGCACCGTTCCCGAGTCCATGCTGCGGACGCTGTGGTTCGCTCGCATACCAACAAGCATGCAAGCTATTTTAGCCGCACATCGCGACCTATCATTAGAAAAGTTGGCTGACATAGCTGACTCTATTATGGACCTAACGGACAATTGCCCACGAGTAGCAGAAACCATGTTGTCCCCTGGTGATCAATTAGCAGCACAACTACAGCAGCTAACTCTTACGCTACAGAGAGAGATCGCATCAATTAAACAAGAAGTGTCCGAATTGCGATACCAGCATAAACAAAGGTCAAGATCGCGTTCCAGTTCACGTCCTCGTTTCCGAAACCGCAGTGCATCCAGTGGTAGTTGTTGGTACCATAGGAAATTTGGGTCCAACGCCCGAAAATGCACCCAACCCTGTTCTTTCCAGACGACAGATTCGGGAAACGCTACGGGGAGTCGTTGATGTCGGCGGACGACCTAGGCCCCTCAGTATCTCGCCGCATCTTCGTGACCGACGTCCAAACCAAAACACAGTTCCTGATAGATACCGGAGCTGATTTGTGTGTATATCCCCGTTCGCTCGTAAAGGGACCGTGTCAAAAGTCAACATATCAACTTTGCGCAGCCAATGGAACAACAATAGCGACTTTCGGTACAATCACCTTAACTCTCAACCTCGGTCTACGTCGTGATTTTTCGTGGAGATTTGTAGTTGCTGACGTCTCAAAGCCCATAATAGGTGTCGATTTTCTTTCATATTACAATCTTCTGGTAGATGTAAGAAATCGAAAACTCCAGGATGCGACGACGCAAATCACTGCTAGAGGGACAGCCGCGAACGGAAGTCTTCCGTGTATCAAGACTATTTCCGGTTCTACAATTTTTCATGAACTGCTATCCAAGTTCCCGGAAATAACGCGACCAGATGGAGTGGTGAAGAGCACGNTGTGGCTACACATATTTGCCACATATATTTTTGTTACGATATGATATCACTTATATATTTTTGATATTTGATATATTGATATTTTTCCCAACTCAATATTGTAACGTATAATTCAATTCTTTCTTTTGTAAATATTTCCTATTGTTATTATGTAAATATGCTTTCAAATGTATCTTCTCAAAACCTTTTGTATCTGTACCTTTCTATTATTCTCTCTACAAATTATTTTATTACTTGTACTTTCCACTAATCCCTTAATATTTTAATTTCGCTTACTAACAGCATGAGGTGTATAATTCTTGTTGCTTCCTAATTGCATTTTAATATTGGGTTTTTAGGTACCTTCGGGAAAAATCTGTTTGTTAGTATTTCATCGAATCCCTCTTTCCAAGTTTCATTCTCTTTTGATTCGATCTCTACTTCAGTTAAAATACTTCCAGCTCCACCCTTTTAATCTTCGTTAAAATTTATTTTCAAAACTACTAACACTTCCGATCTATTATTCAACTGTTCCACTCCTTCCTTCAGCGATTGTTGATTAAATTTGTTAAGTTTTCATTATGTTTCATTTCGTAATTTATTTTTGCAAAGTGTGTTGAATCTCCACCAAAACCTAAACTACAAAACGTAGGGGTGTACGAAAAGTGCCCTAGTCAACGAGCCGTCAATGATTGAGAACATTTGCCAGGTTGATAGCCGCGCTATCTTATCGCTATTCGTTGTTGCAAGCGTCAAGTGACTCATATAGCTACTTGTGACCTTCGTAACAGCTGCTACCAGACAAGTCACCTGAACGTGTGACGATTGGTGGTAGCCTGCACTTCGTAGCTACTGTTCGATTGGCGAAGTTACTGCTATTACCACGAAATGCATACTTAAAAACAATGTATTCGCACGCAAAATATGCGAACATGGTGGTCACATATGGACGGTGTAATGAGAATGCATTTGCGGCATCAAGTGAATACGTAACACGTTTTTCGAACAGACAGGCACCGCATACTGATGCATTTGTCACTGTTGTTTAACGCTTGCATGACGCAGAAAGTTTGGTACCGCTTCGAGGGGGTGAAGGCCAGTAAAAACGACCAGTCAGTGTTGACGAAATCGTGCAGGTAGTCTTGCATATAATAAACTTTATTTAAATATTCATGAAATGTAGGTCTTAAAGTCTAGCAAAGCAAACTAAAAATATCAAATAAGTACTAAAAATGTTTCCATACAAGAATATCTACATTAAAGTTGCTTAAAATAATTTAACTTATAAATCTACCGGAATTAATAATTTTTCGTTTAGTCTTGCGTATTTGGTCTAAGTCTTGCATATTCGGTCTTGATTTTTGTTTGGGTCTTTTGGTTCGTTCGGTATTGGTTTTAGTCTGAATCTTGTCCGTTCGGTCATTGTTTTAGTCTTAGTCTTGTTTGTTCGGTCATTGTTTTAGTCTTGAAATTCTTTGTTCGATTTTAGTCTTAGTCTTGTTAGTATAAAGACAGTCTTGGTTTTGGTTTTGGTCTTACATTTTCGCAAGATTAAGACCAAGACTGCAAGACCAAAACCGATTTTGTTCAACTTAACCTTTACTTGTTTTCTACAATCATTAACCGAAAAGCGGTGTTTTTGGTGTGGCTAAGCCCGTCCAAATATTGGTGGCGAGTGCCGTTATCAATATTTTGTCGATATTTTCAATAATAATTTTATTAACTACACACGGGCACGCAATGTTCCGCGCGAACGACAAGAGCGTCACCAAATTGCGTTTGGCAAGCCTCTGCGCAGTGAGACCGTTTCACACGTAGCTTTTTTACCATGATTCGCGCGTGCGTACTATTAAAAAATCACCCTTTTTTGTCGTCCACAAGTGATTTTTGAATACTTTCGTCGTAAATAAAACAACACACCAATTGAGATTTTGTTTACGTTTTGTGTTTGAGAATATTAGACATTGATAATACAAAAACATTTGTGTTTTCTATTTTTTTTTGCTCAAGGAGCTTTTCAGACACATTCGCTCCGGGCTACGTCTTTCCTTCTACCTGTAGTGCCATTTCTTTACAATTGTTTAGTTACGCGTCAAATACATCACAATTAGTGTATTTTAATTAATAATCAACACGTTTATAATATCAACGTATTGATATTTAAGAGCATTTATTTCTACCTATGGTTCCAGGAAACCAAGCACATAAAGGGTTCCTCTGCAGATCGGTGCTGCTGTTTCCAACTCTAATCTCTATATCTTGAAGGGGCTGATGACCACAGCAACCTCTCGTGGTCACCCTCACGACTTTAATGGGATACGGTCGTAATAAGTTTACTGACCACCATGGACTGGGCTCTTTTTGCGTTTCTGAACAACGCTTGCCATCATGGTCAGTACTGGTATCACCGTCGTTTGCGTTAAGAGCTGCTCCACCCCTTACTGACGTTGACTGATTAGCAGGTTTTCGAAATGCAACATTAGTACCTGAAACAAGACAAAATTTACTTTCTTAATTAACTTAACACAAAATTGACGAAAACATTTTATAACTAATCTTTCTTTGTATTGTGTATTAAATATTTGGTATATTTGGGGTGTTTCTGAAATAAGTAGCAAGTTTCCACAAGAAAATTATATAAAATGTTAGTGGTCCGAAAATCTATCATTTTCGATAAAAGTGTATTTGAAGATACACGCAAGAGCCGATCAGCTGCTAATTAGCAACATTCGTGTTGTATNAAACTGAACTAAAAATTTAATAAACATTAAAATAAAAAATTTCTTATTGTTTATTTATTTCTTTCAGAGAACCCCTTTGTAAAGCAGTAGGACTTAAAGCTACAGTTACAATGTTTACCTCAGTCATTTCTCAAAAGCTCGCAGAAAGAGCTGGTTTCAAGGTGCTTAGTGAAATTTCTTACCTCAAATTAGAAGAAATTGATCCTTTTCTTACTTTTCCTGGTATACATGAACATACAAGAAATGTGAAAAATATGTATCTTACGTATGAATAAATTGTTTTACAGTTACTATTTATTTAGGCACAGTTATTAAACACATTAGTAAAGTCAACCTGATTCTGATCTGATCATCACTATAAGGTCGTCAGTCCTAAAACTGGTTGAATATGCACCTTCACTGTAGCTATATGAGTTGCGTCAAGTGACGAAACTCATAAAGCTACTTGTGACCTTCGCAACAGCTGCTACCAGACAAGTCACCTTCACGTGTGACGATTAGTAGTAGTAGCCTGCACTCCATAGTTACTGTTCGATTGGCAAAGTTACTGCTATTACCACGAAATGCATACATGCACACAGAATATGCGAACATGGTGGTCACATATGGACGGTGTAGTGAGAATGCATTTGCGGCATCAAGTGCATACGTTGCACGTTTTCTGAACAGACAGGCACCGCGTACTGATGCATTTGTCACTGCTGTTTAATGCTTGAAGACGCAGAAAGTTTGGTACCGCGCCGAGAGGGTGAAGACCAGAAAAGACGATCAGTCGGCGTTAACAAAATCGTTTGATATTAATCGAAGACGATCCCGGTTTGATTAGGTACCCGGGGCATTGCACGGTAAACATTTTAATTGTACCGTACCGTCGCATCGCTATATAAAATAACTGACAGTGAATTTATTCCTTGCCCGTGTTTACGTACGGAACTCCACAACACCATGTATCGACGACGCATTACACAATTACGCTATGTAATCCTGGTCATCATTGCCGGAGCAGTTGGGGCTTTCAGTAAGGTCATTATCCTTATGTTTATTAATATCACTCAGTGGTTTATGTCTCTTCTTCTCCCTTATTTCATTCGGAGTACTGATTAGGCAAAGTGTATTTGTTCTGTTTCTATAAACTTTGGTGATATGTAATAATATCTAAGCTTATTTATAACTTTCTCATCCAGCTGGCGTTTACATTGGTTTGTGTAAAACTTCAAGGAAGTTCACTTGTAGGATCCTAAGCAAAAGAGGAGTTAAGAGGGCAGAGGTAGACCTATATCAGATTACTATTCGCAAATAGACAGAAATGTAGCCAGGTTTTTCTAGTCTTCGAGATATGTCAAGATTGGTTTAAGAAAGGAAGAAATAGAAGTGCATCTCAGAAGAGCATATGATGATGATGATTATGATGCTGGAAACTCATGTAGTTATATTTTACTCCACTTTTAAATTCATTTATTAATCAGAAGAAGTGGCTGATTTTAGATACCTAGGAAGTCAGATAAGTCAGGATGGAAGGAGTAGTAGGGATATAAAGCAGAGGATAGCGCAGGGTCGTGTCGCCTTTAATAAAAAGAAGTCACTTCTATGCTCGCGAACCGTTAATTTAGAAATTCGAAAAAGATTGTTAAAGGTGTATGTTTGGAGCACGGCGTTGTACGGGTGCGAAACATGGACAGTGGGAGCGGCGGAAAAGAAAAGGTTAGAAGCGTTCGAAATGTGGTGTTATAGGCGGATGATGAGGATATCATGGGTAGAAAAGGTTAGAAATGAAGAGGTATTGGAAAGAATAGGAGAACAGAGGACTCTATGGAAGTCAATAAAAAATAGGCGAGATAGATTGGTAGGCATGAAGGTCTAGTCTGAGACATATTAGAGGCAGAAACAGGAGTTAGGAGGGGTAGGGGTAGACCTAGATTAGATTACTGTTCGCAAATAGTTAAAGATCTGGGCTGTTCTAGTTTTAAGGAAATGCGAAGTTTAGCTCTGTATAGGAAAGAGTGGAGGTGTCCAACCAGTCTTAGGACTGACGACCTTATGATGATGAATCAGTAGTCATGATTATAAAAATGTTTTTTTACCTATTAGTACAAGTAGAAATGAAGATGTATTAAAAAGAATAGGATAACAGAGGACTCTATGGAGGTCAATAAAAAATTGGTAGGACACTGTCTCAGGCATGAAGGTCTAGTCAAAGACATATTAGAGGCAGAAATAGGAGTAGAGATAGACCTAGATTAGATGACTGTTTACAAATAGTTAAGAATGTGGGATGTTCTAGTTTTAGGGAAATGCGAAAATTAGCTCAGGATAGGAAAGAGGAGGTGCGTATCCAATCAGTCTTATAATGATGATGATGAAGTACAAGCTGTTTTCGAAAAAACTCCGCATTGTTAACAATTTTAAGAAGTCTCCTTTGAAACGTTTTTGTACCCGAATTTGCTATAATTATGTAACAATTTCTCCTATTGTCTATTCCCACCCAGTTTCTATAATCGGTGTTAAATCAAATCCTAAAAAAGGGTTAGAAGCTTTTGATTATTTAGAAAACTATAGCCAACGTTTCGCCTTTGTTGTTGGACTTAATTGGTTGTTGCAACTATTGAGTATGTACAGCACATGGAATAGCTTTTTTGTGAAGGGACATATTCATTGACCAACCAAACAAATAAAACAATAAATATATACATATGTATAAATGTTATAAAGAACTAGCTTTGAGAAAGTTCGACAACTACAGCGAAACGTTGGTGGTTGTTTATTAAATAATAAATAACTTTTGACTGCACTTTTAGCTTTGATTCCACAACGAATAATTTCTTCTGCATATAATCTTGCACGTAATAAACTTTATTTACATATTCATGAAATGTAGGTCTGAGATTAGATAAACCTGTTTTTTTCTGTAGTCAATAGTCATTTGCTGCTTGCTTTACTTTGTGTTCTATAAATGAACTGATTCAAGTGAATTTCCTTTTCGTCTTATACAGTAAGTTATATTTTATTTCGTATTTCGACGTAATAGAAAACTCAAATTTTATCTAATAAATTACACGGAAAAAGTTAACCATTACCTACTTCTCTTTCATATTTTTGTTGTATACACTGCATATAATGATTTCGGATTGGAAAAGGCCTGATAGTATTCCATTTCCAACAATTTGGCACCGATTTAAAGGACAAAAGACAATGTCAAATGGAGAATTGCCAAATTTTTGGGTTCAGGATATGCCCGAAGATTTGTATGAAGTAGCTATAGAATTAATGCAGAAACATTTCATGAAAGATGAACCTCTTAGTAGATTTTCAAGTGAGATATGATGCACTGTTTTATGTTTTACTAAATATCTTAAAACTAACTTAATCTGTTTGCTTTATTATTTAGAAGCTATAGATAATCCAGTATGTGTGGGGGAGTGGCGAGAATTGTTGAATAACGTATTTAAAGATAGGCTTGCATTGGTTTGTTTTATGGAAAACCCAGATACAAATAAAAAACCAATTATCGCAGGATTAAATATAACTACTGTTGCAAGAAAAAATGAAAAACCACCTCAGGTTTGTTAAAAACATATAGACAATATTCTCGTGAAAATTAGTACCTACTATACAAGGGTACCTTTTTAGAATAAGTAGATATATCTTTTTATTAAAATAATTCTGTTTTTCAGTCTGTGTCTAAACAAGGTCGCAAAGTTGGTCAAATAGCTAAATTCCTATCAAAAATGAAAGATCCTTTTGAAACCCTAGGTGTAAACGAGTATTTAACGGCGTATGGTTTACTGGTACTTCCAGAATTTAGGGGACAAAATTTAGGNAGTGGTCAAAGCATTGGCGCGTAAAGCCAAAGAGCCCGGGTTCGATTCCCGGCGGGGGTGTGACAACAACAACAAAATTTTTTCTCATTAATTTGAGGAAGTGTGTAGTGGGTAAAAAAATTGAGGATTTTAATGTTATCTCTTAAGGAGCATGTTATCTCAAAACCGAGGTAGTTCAATTTCAACAATTCGTTTAAATTTAATAACAGATCGGTTGTTCATGTTGTTAGCTGTAAAGTTCATGCTGAATTTTATACTGAGTAAACCCGGTAATTTAGTTTCGAAGCTGAAACTATAAATATACATATACATATGCCTATGTATGTATATTACGTTGTTAAAGATGTTACAAACTAAAATCGGTATTTCGCCTTTTTTTGTACTATGGTGGTTTAAGTAGAACTATTTCAATTAAATAACATATCTGCATGCAAGATCAACATTTTGGTTTTGTGAAATGGAAGAAATATCTCTCCGGATAAACTGAAAACTAAACTAAAAATTTAATAAGCATAAAAATAAAAATTTTCTTATTGCTTTATTTCTTTTTTTCAGAGAACCCCTTTGTAAAGCGGTAGGACTTAAAGCTACAGTTACAATGTTTACCTCCATCATTTCTCAAAAGCTCGCAGAAAGAGCTGGATTCAAGGTGCTTAGTGAAATTTCTTACCTCAAATTAGAAGAAATTGACCCTTTTCTTACTTTTCCTGGTATACATGAACATACAAAAAATGTGAAAAATATGTACCTTACGTATGAATAAATTGTTTTATAGTTACTATTTATATAAACAAAGTTATTCAACACATTAGTCAAATCGATCTGATTATTTATCATTATCATCATTATAAGATCGTCAATCCTAGTCTAGACTAGTTGGATGGTCTACCTCTACTGATTGTTTTCGCTTCTAATATCCTGCCAACCTCTCACCTATTTCCTATTGACTTCCGAAGTGAGCTCCGTTTTCCTACTCTTTCTAATACCTCTTCATTTCTAACCTTCTCTATTCACGATATCCTCATCATTTGCCGGTAAAACCACATTTCGAACGCTTCTAACCTTCTCTTTTCTACCGCTCCCGTCGTCTATGTTTCGCACCCGTACAGCGTCAAAGCTTCAGTCAAACACCTTTAAGAATCTTTTTCGAATTTCTAAATTAACCGTTCGCAAACATAGAAGTGGCTTCTTTTTGTTGATGACAACTCAACCCTGTACTATCAACCGCTTTTTGTTTCTACCACTCCTTCCATCCTGAATTATCTGACTTCCCAGACACCGAAAATCATCCACATCTTCTAATGTTTCATCTCCTATCTCTATATTTGCTCTTTCCCTACTGTTTTATCCCTTGCATGCCAGTATTTTTGGTTTATTTTTACTTAAATTCAAACAATACTATTTTGTCAATACCGCTTCCATTTTATTTAAGACTTTTTCTAACTGCTCCTTGCTAGTTGCTAATACTGCTATATCATATGCAAATCTAAGCATACTAATCTTTTGATTCCACTTCATCATCGTCGTAGGTCGTCAGTACTTCTGACCATATTTTTTTATTTCAAATCCGGGACGGGAACTTGTAGCAGGGGGGGGGGTTGTTAAATTAAATAACTTAAATGTGAATACTATTTAAGGATATAATAAAAGTCAGTATTTTTTTTAAATGAATTACATTTTTTTTAATCAGAATTACTGAGTACAAAACTTTTTATATTTTTCTGAACTATGGATTTTTTTCAGTAGGTCTTTTTTACTTTGAAGCATTGTATAAAATTCTGTACAATCTTCTTCATAATTAACTTTAGTAAGTAATATCGCTTTTAGTGTGTCTATTTCAAGTCGAGTCTTGTCACTTGTCCAAAGGCTATTCATTAAAGAAAGTATTCTTTCCGTAGAAACATTTGTGCCAGGCAGGCAGAAAAAGAACTCTGCTAATTTTCGTAAAGTTGAAAATGAAAGTTCACGATTATTAAAGTGAGAGACCATTTCAATCCACCTTTGGATTGATGCAGTTCGGCTATTTTTCCATTCGGCAATTTTCTCTTCCGTAACGTATACTTTCATATAAGCATACTCGTCGTATATATCATTTTCAGATATTTGATGGGTTGTTGTAATTTCATTAACAAGTAATAGCGAAGATTCAATTTCAACCCATAGTGGTGTATTTTGATATGCACAATTTTTTCGGTTCAAATTTTGTAAAAATAATCCTAGTTGAAATATATTTAAAATAAATATTGAAAATAAGAACCTTTTCAAAAATTCGGGACAATCCGGGACAAAAAACCTGAATCCGGGACAAATATTGCTTCTAGAAAAATCCGGGATTGTCCCGGCCAACCCGAGACGTATGTTCACCTTAATAATACCCACATCAGAAGTGGGCGACACACATGTCCGCAGGGGAAAGGCTTAGTTGTAACTAAACAAAATCCTGAAACTAGTCAATAAAGATCCTCCTTACCTACATGTGTCTATTACATTGCTCTCTTTTATGAATCATGTGGTCAAACACACCACTATTATATTTAGACATATACAACGAGCCTGGAATATATAATAGGGTTGAAAATAGATGGTACTTTTATCCGAAACATTTAATGGATTTCACTTTCTTCTTGAATATTTTTGTAGGTATCTACAATACGTTTTGCCATTTGAATATTTGAGGTAACATCGATCGGACCTTTCAATCACTCCCCTCAGTTCGAGAATAAAACTCCCTTGAACTTTAATAGCATTGGAAAGCAAATTAACAGAAAGTAATTTAAAAGTTCGAAGCAAATTCAATCCCTTTTACCGATTCAAATGCTACGACCCTTCTGTTGCCTTTTGTGGTTTCTGTNGGGAATGTATAAAATATTGTTTCAAAGATTTTTTAGTACATACTTATCCTAGGAAATTCTGATATTGTACTAGAAAATGTATAAAACTAATGCTTTCTCTCAGGGGCGGCCTTAACCACTGGGAGGCTCCTGGCGGGTAGGTTTTTCGAAGCCCTTGTCCTTGTGGAATTAGTTTTAATGATAATTAGAATTTCAAAATTGTTTATTTGAAATTAACAAGAACTAATAAACACAAACATTATTATACTTCATTTACTTTTTCTAGCGATGTGCCCCTTCCAATGTCATGGAAACGCGCTGGCAAAATCGTAGGTAGGGAGAAAAAAGCTCATTAAACTCTCGACTCTTGTTCATTAAACATACTTTTTCATGCAGTACCTGCCAAAAGTTTTGTTCAATCATGAATAGTAGTATGAGTCGAAAACAAGCGTTAAAGCCTTTAATATGTCTTCAAATATAAATAAACCTCTCGTTGAAATTTTCAGTAGTAAATGGTACCAATAACAGCACATTGTGTAATTTAATTGTAGTGGATAAAATGGTCAATTTTTCCGTACAGTACTGTACGGATTATACGCTTCTCACCGGTTAAGAGTTTGGCCGAGATTTGTCTCCTTCCTTTTCTGGCCTAATGCAGTTCTTTTTTACATTGCGCCGGTCAAACTGAAGGTCACATCGCTACAGAAAGTAAACGAAGTACCTATACTTAAGAGAATCAGGGATTCAGAAATGATACTTGCAGCTTTCTTAAGTCTTACAAATTCAAATAAATATTAGTACTATTAGTATCATATTAGTGCCTAGTATTTTTCTAATTGGAACATTACGCGAGAACGTGAGGCCTCTGCAAGAGCGAGGCTCCGGGCGATTGCCCAGTTCGCCACCGCCAAAGGCCGCCCCTGTGTATTTTCTAGAAGTATAGTATGGTCAGTAAAGGCTGTTAAAATCCCGGAAAAAAGATGATAAATGCAATAAACGTTCGGAGCTAACTGCTAATGACGTATTAACTGCGAGTTATTTATCATTGTGTTGATCAATTGTAGATATGTAGAATTAACAGTAGCTTAATTGCGTATAATACTATAATAAATTACTAGGCAATCTTCGCAATATGCTGCAAGATAAAATAGGGCGAAGGTGTACGAAGTCTATTCAAAAAGTATTGCGAATTGTGAATTTTCGAGGGTTACGTATATTCGATTTTCGATTTTTTTAAAGCGTTATGTTGGTACTCATGTCTCTCACTTACAGCGACAAGCTCGACCATGTTGAATGTTCAGTTAATTTTTGACAGCTGCTTTGCTTGCACGTGTTTTGGCTCGTCATCGATTTTTGCCTATTTCAAAAAAATGGTTCAAAGAATCTGTATCAAATTTTGTGTGAAAAACAAAATTAAGTATGTCGACGCATTCCGAATGTTGACTGTGGAATATGATAAACCTACTTCGGATCAAAGCAACGTTTATCGGTGGTACAAAATGTTCTCAGATGAACGACGAATAGAACGTCAACAACTGAAAAAAACATTGACGAAGTGAAGAAAAAGTATTAGCAAATCGTCGAATCGCCGTTAGAGCAGTTACTGAGGATCTGAACATATCGATTGGCTTCTGCCATTCGATTTTTACCAATGATTTGAGCATGAGACGAGTCGCCGCGAAATGCGTACCAGAATTGCTCAATTTCGACCAAAAACAACATCGCATTAATATTGCTAAAGGAGCTGTTGGACTCTGCGTCGTAAAGGATCCTTCCTGAACCATTACCTCCATGAACTAATTTAACCATTTAACTGATGCATCTAGTCATCCTCGAAGAGTCTACTATCAAATAAGAACAACGCCGCCTTGTAAATTTGCAAAATATTCTAAAAATTGTAATTGGATAAATATCGCTTTCATATTTAGATAAGTTTTCCTTTTTCATTTTCTCTGTGAAGGTCCATCGTTACAGTCAAGGGCCAGTCCACCCCTGGCAGAACGACGCAAAGAAATATAGCAATGCATCAGCTTGCAGCATCCGTGTTGTATGAGTTTTTTTTTTGTATTTCGTGTTTTTAAGGAAGCTATCTCACGACATTACTAGTAAAAAGTTTATGCTAGAGTGTATCGTACAGTCAGTTAGTAGCCGTGATGCCTAAGCCTGAAACTTTTTGCTGTTACTGTACTATTC